CATCAAGACAGGTTCTTCCCGCACGTATCTTGAAACGTATGTGCCAGGATATCCGACCTCGCGAGGGCAGAGAAATCTGAATCATCGTCTGTCGTGCGCGCGAATGCGTTTCCACGGGGTGCGCCACACCTTGCTTAACCACACGATTCTGGTCAAATTGCGCCTGCGACTGTTCGACGCTGTAGTCAGCCCAACATTCTTGCAGAGTCTGTCAAGAAATACCATGTACTGTATCGCAGTTAGCTAGAACCCTACAAAGCGCAAAAGAACGATGATGAGACGAATTGTTGGCTGGGTTAGGCACGACGAGGAGGATTGGCATGACACCGGGCACCGCGTGAAACAAATATTCAAGTCTGCGTGGTGCAGTACTCGCGTGGCGGTCTGGAGCCAGGCTCGCGGCAAACAGTGGCGAAGACTGATCGAGGAGATCACAAGTCGATCGGCACGCATTACGTCGGGCATGTCCTCCGGCAGGCGGATGTAAGAAAACATGTGTTCTCAAAACGATTCCAACATGGACAAGCATCACCATACTATATTCTACTATTCTTGAAGATTCCTCGTGTAGAGGGACATGCCCGACTTCCGAAATGAACTGTGCACCACCTGTCCAGCCCCGCCACCCCGGCCAAATGTCAGGGTGAAGGGGGGGCTGAAAGACCGAGCGCGGGCGGAGGAAGCGGGCGCGCGGCCGTGGGACCTGAGCCACCGACCGCCACCGTTAGGCGCGCACGCTCCTGCCCGACTGCAGGCAAGCATCGTGTGTCGCGTGTGCCGCTGGTCCATGCGGTCAACTGCACCTGGCCGGGAGGCCCACGGAGGGCGCGGCCGCCGGCCGCGCAGAGGGACTGGAGTGATAGCATTCGCGAGCGGCCCCCGCGAGGGGCAACGTTTGGGGGGAAGAACCGATTCTTTAGAGGCCTCCTGGATGGGGTCCGAGTAGATGAGGTCGAAGGACCGCGCCGCATCGCCATGTGCATCGACGATGCATCGGCGATGCATCTGAAACGTCCGCGACGCATCGGCGATGCCGGCGAGGAGAAAGTCGGGCTCCGCATCGAGCCGCATCGTCGATGCATCGGCGGTGCGGCGCGATGCTCCGACCCCATGTACTCCGACCCCATCCAGGAGGCCTAAAATCCAGGGGAAAATATCAACCTGGAAGTGGCGATAAATCGCCAGCCGGTGGCTCGGCGACAGGCCTCCGACAGCGCAACCGCACGCTCCCAGGTGAGTTGATGCCCCCGAGCCCATCGCCCCCTGACGTCGCCCCGAACTTCGGGCCACAACTCGGCCCTCCGGCGGCCGTTCCTGACGATCCGGGCGCCTCCGGAACGCCCTCGGCGAGGCACAGCCGCTGGAGGGCACCCCGAGGCTGGGAAACCGCCGAGGTCCCACGAGCACGTCTGCAAACCTCGACCCCTCGAGCCCTCGAACCCTCGGGGCCCTCAAGCCCTCGAACCTATCCCCTCGAACCTGTCCCCTCGAGCCCATCCCCTCGAACCTGTCCCCTGGACCCCGCAACCCTCGAGACCTCGAGCTTACCCCCCCCCGCGAGCCCTCGAGCCTGCACTCCCCCCCCCAAGAGATGACCCTGCCCCCCCCCCCCGCCCGCGGAGGCGCCGCTGTGGGCGCAGCGCCAGCAGCCGCGGAGCAACGCATGGCGCGCGCGCGTGCCCCGCCGCGCGCGGCGCGGCACCGCAGGGCGGGGGAGTCGCGGGGGAGGGGGGGGGAGCCGAGGCCCCGCCCGCCGCGCGGCCCACACCGCTCGGGGCGCGGGGGGGGGCGGCGGCGGAGGGCGAGATGAGGCTTCGGCGGGATACGCTTAGGTCGGGCGTGTCCTCCTACAGGCGGATTTGGGACGAAGAATCAAAATCAGTCAAACATTCTGCAGGAAGCTGCAAAAACAGTTGAAATATCATCCCCTGACTATTTGTGGACTGCTTCTGAATATTCGCCCTGTAGAGGGACAGGCCCGAGTCAAGGCTGCGCGCAGACGCCGAGACCCCCCCCCCGAGGCATCCAAGCTGACCGCAGCAGGCTCCCCAGGCATAGTCCCAGCGCGCCACACGGCTGGGGACTATCAGGCCGACTGAGCGCGCCCCTGGCGGGCTGAGCGCGCCCGCGCGCGCCCGCCCGCGCGCGCCCATGTCGGCTCCCCGCGTCGCGCTGGGGCGCAGGGGGCGCAGCGACGGCGCGCTCGCGCGCACGCCCACCTCGGCTCAGGGGGAGTTTGGACGAAAAATAAAAAACAAAGACAAATACTTTTAAATACCCACATAATCATCCAAACATGTTCAAAACATCGTCCCCTGACTATTTGCTTTTTCCTATTCTTGAAGATTCCCCCTGCAGAGGGACACGCCCGACTCAATCCTCACCTCAGCGTCCCGACTCCAGGCGTGCCTCGGGGGAGCATGGCAGGCGGGAGGACGGGGGCCAGGCCTCCACGGCGCAAGAGGGGGCGTCGGGCGGAGGTTCGCGGACCAGGCGGGGGGAGGGGGGGGGAGCGGAGCGGAAGGGGCGGTCCGCACGGGGCCTTCGGTGGGGCTTCCTATGGGGCCACGAAACGTGTGAGGGGTGTGCTGAATTGGGTGTGCGGGACGCATGTGGGCGGCAGCGCTGGGGCCTTCTGTGGGGCTCCCTATGGGGCCACGAAGCGTGTGAGGGGTGTGCCGAATTGGGTGTGCGGGACGCATGTGGGCGGCAGCACTGGGGCCTTCGGTGGGGCTCCCTATGGGGCCACGAAGCGTGTGAGGGGTGTGCCGAATTAGGTGTGCGTGACGCATGCGGGCGGCAGCACTGGGGCCTTCGGTGGGGCTCCCTGTGGGGCCACGAAACGTGTGAGGGGTGTGCCGAATGGGGTGTGCGGGACGCATGCGGGCGTCATGCTGGGGCCTTCTGTGGGGCTCCTCCCTATGGGGCCACGAAACGTGTGAGGGGTGTGCCGAATTGGGTGTGCGGGACGCATGCGGGCGGCAGCACTGGGGCCTTCGTGGGGCTCCCTATGGGGCCACGAAACGTGTGAGGGGTGTGCCGAATTGGGTGTGCGGGACGCATGCGGGCGGCAGCACTGGGGCCTTCGGTGGGGCTCCCTATGGGGCCACGAAACGTGTGAGGGGTGTGCCGAATTGGGTGTGCGGGACGCATGCGGGCGGCAGCACTGGGGCCTTCGGTGGGGCTCCCTATGGGGCCACGAAACGTGTGAGGGGTGTGCCGAATTGGGTGTGCGGGGCGCATGCGGGCGGCAGCGCTGGGGCCTTCGGTGGGGCTCCCTATGGGGCCACGAAGCGTGTGAGGGGTGTGCCGCATTGGGTGTGAGTGACGCGTGCGGGCGGCAGCACTGGGGCCTTCGGTGGGGCTTCCTGTGGGGCCACGAAACGTGTGAGGGGTGTGCCGAAATAGAGGATGATGACGATGATGATGGTGGGAGGAGGGAGGAGGGAGGAGGAGGAGAACGAGGAGCGTGAGCGGGAGCGGGCGCTGTCTCTTCATACCGAGGACCCAACACCACAGGATGGTTGGGAAAAAAACTACCAAACGGCTTCGCGCACGCGCGTGTCGAAATCGTTCGAACGCTCTTGCGGGCGTGCCGTCGCGAGAATCCTGTGCAAAAAACAAGAGCGAGGTGCACGCGCGCGTCGTCGCAAGCGCATGCCAAAATCCTTCACAAACCTACGGTTTCGGAAGGATTTCAAAATCTGGATTTCTAAAAACGCTTACACGCGCGCTCTTGCGAAACCTTGTGGAAACCGTGGGTTCTTCAACATTTTCAAACAAAAACTACCACACGGGTTTCTCGCGTGCGCATGTCGAAATCGTTCGAACGCCCTTGCGCGCGTGCCGTCGCGAGAATCCTCTGCAAAAGACCGGGACGAAGTGCACGCGGCCGCGCAGTCGCGCGCGCAAGCCGAAATCCTTCAAAAACCTGTGTTTTCGGAGGGATGTGATGTCCAAACAGCATATCAAAACACAGGGTTTCGCAACACGGACTCTCAACAAAAGCGTAGGCGCGCGCTCTTGCGTCGTCGTCGTCGTCGCCGTCGTTCCTTCTCCCTCGTCGTCGTCGTCGTCGTCGTCGTCGCCTTCGTCGTCCTCTGTCTTTCCTCGTCGTTGTCGTCGTCCTCTTTGGCGTCGTCGTCGTTTCCGTCGTCGTCGTCGCCGTGGTCGTCCTTCCTCCTCCCTCGTCGTCGTCGTCGTCGTCCGTCGTCGGCGTCTCGTCGTCGTCTCTCCTATTTCTTCGCCGTCGTCGTCGTCGTCTTCCCTACTCCCTCGTCGTTGTCGTCGCCGGCGTCGCCGTCCTCCCTCCTTCGTCGTTCACGTCGTCGCCGTCCTCCCTCCTTCCTCGTTGTGTCGTCGTTGTCGACGTCGTCGTCCTCCCTCTTCCCTCGTCGTCGTCTTCGTACGCGGAGTCGTCGTCGTCGTCTTCGTCGTCGTCGTCGTCGTCGGCGTCGTCGTCAGCGTCGACGTCGTCGTCGTCGTCGTCGTCGTCGCCGTCCTCGTCGTCGGCGTCGTCGTCGCCGTCGTCGTCGCGGGCGTCGTCATAGTCGTCGTCGTCATCGGTGTCGCCCTCGTCGTCGTCGTCGTCGTCGTCGGAGACGTCGTCGGTGTCGTCGTAGTCGTCGTCGGCGTCGTCGTCGTCGTTGTCGCTGTCGTCGTCGGCGTCGCTGTCGTTGCAAAGTGCCATTTTGGTACCCACCGTCACGGTTTTAAGAAGTCGTGCGACCAAGTTGCGGGTGGGAGGGTAGGATGTTTGCACGAGCAGTGGAGAGGACAGCTTCAAGACAGTCAAAGTGACTTCCACCACATAGCTTGCACCGCTTCATCGCATAGCTCGTCTGACGCAGCTTCCACCACATACCTAGCACCACACTGCGACCAAACCCACAACGGAATACCTCGCTGCTCGGGGTCAACGCTGGCAAACATGTACGCGTGTGCCCTGGACCTTCACTCTTCATCGAGAACAGTGGGGAAGAGAGGGCAACGCCTTTTTTCTGCACCCGCGTAAGAGCGCGCCCGACCCCAACTTTTTGCACGCCCTCTGCTGCAAAGGTGCCGCTCCCTCTTGGCGGGGGCTGCTTGCCGCGGGCACCGAGGAGCCTGCGTTAGCATTCCAGACCTCCGTAGGACAACAAGTCCGACCGTGCCAGGAGGGCAGACGCCGAAGCCTCCGCCTCCTTCTTCCCTCCTCCCTTGGTCTGCACAAACAGTGCCCGAATATCTGCGCCAAGCTCTTCAACATGCAGCCCGAGCCTTCCCAGCTATACCGGCGAGCTGGCTGGGGAAGGCATCCATCAGGCTGGCGGGGTGGGACGGCCGGCGCATCCACTCGCCTCTTTCGCTTTGCCACAATTGTCAGCTTGATGCAGTCTTGCACTGTCGCGACCGACCCCCCCCTCCTGCTCATGATCCTTCTGCCCCCGGCACTGAGTATCGTTGATTCGATCCCTATTCCCCCTTAGAGCAGCCTTGGCCCAACTGTTCAATTACACCCGGAGGTGGGGATATACGCTGTTCCCTCGGATCTCGAGGAACCTGCTTATTCCCCATCTCGGAGGGTGGGCTGGTGGGGCTCAGATACCATGGCCCAGTGAGCATGGATGTAGGCTGGACGATGGTGGAGCAAGGTTCCTCTTGGAGCTGTGATGCCTGCGGTATGCTCCAGCAGCTGCGCCACTGGAAACACTCAGGGGGGAGACCAGATCGCCGGCCTCGAAGCGCGAGGCACGACTGGGCGGGACCACACCCCGGCCACTGATCTGGCTCCAGAGATGCATGCTTCCTCCAGGACCTCCAGAGGCCCAAAACACATCGCCAAAATCTGTCAACGACGTCCTGAACCCTGGGGGGGCAGAAGAGAGACTTCTGGAGACCGTTTTGGCGGGAATCGGCGATAACCCGGGTTGTCCCGGGGCGGGGGGGGGAGGAGGGGTCCGGCCGATAACCTAATCTTCGCGCCAAGGGCAGCTCTGCACATGCCCGCGCCCCCCCACCCCAGACCTGCACAGCCGGCAAGGTCAGGGTTTCCTGGGGGGGGCGGGGGGGGGGCCAGCCCGATAACCCGGGTGATCGCCGGACCCTAAAAGCACAGTCTCCTGGAAGCCTCGGGAGGCCCTCCCTCTCAAGGGCCTCGGACGGACCCCGGGAGCCCATGGTGGCCTCGGCCGCTGCAGGCCCTCGGGGGGCCGGGGCTGCGGAGTCAAGAGGCGGGCAGGGCAGAGGGGGTGAAGCTCGGACAGAGGCTGCCTGCTACAGTGGGGCTGCCCGGCCTCGGCAGATGAAATCAAACCATATCGATCGGTCGGTCGGTCGCCTTGGGGTTCTATGGCTTCGCCGTCGCCGCCGTGGTGAGCGAAGGGGGTGGGGAGGGGAAAAAGGACTAGGTGGCACAGTCATCGTGCGACCAGGCGGAAAGCTGGATGAGGAACGGAGGGTCATTTGAGGCCGCGGCGTGCGAAGGCCACGCATGGCTCCCAAACACAAAATCACAAGAACCTCCGAACACCCAAAGCCACACATGGTCCTTATGTCAGCGTCTTGGCCATGGCCCACCTCGCCCCAGGGACTCCAGAGGGCTCCAGGTCCAAACACCTGCTGCAACGGAGGGGTGGAGGGTTCAACTCCTGTCTGGCGACGAGGTGGCTACGGGAGGAGCGGAGGAGGAGGCAGGTGGAGGGGAGGAGTGGAAGAGGCGGAGGAGGAGGAGGCGGAGGAGGAGGAGGAGGAGGAGGAGGAGGACAGGAGGGGGAGGAGGAGGGGGAGGAGGAGGAGGAGGGGGAGGAGGAGGAGGAGGAGGAGGAGGAGGAGGAGGAGGAGGAGGAGGAGGAGGAGGAGGAGGAGGAGGAGGCAGGAGGAGGGGAGGAGTGGAGGAGGGAGGAGGGGAAGAGGAGGGCCAGAGGGAGAGCAGACGAGGGGCACGAGCGGCCCTGCCCCTGGCTCATGACCTGCACTGTGCGGCGGCGAGGCTGGTCGCCTTGGGCGCCCCGCCCGACGCCGCGGAAGTGTCCGAATTCCGCCGCCCGCCTCGCGGCAGGGCGCGCCTTTGCGCCCGCGAGCCGCCGCTCCGATGGGGGGGGAGAAAGGGGCGGGTGCAGGACGAGGATGCCGCAGGAGGAGGGGGAAGGAGGTGGAGGGTCGTCGGCGATAGGCGGTATGGTTGAGCTTGGCGACCTCGATCTGGAGGAGTGGGGAGGGCGGAGGAGGAGGAATAGGACGGAAATGACTTGGAGGAGAAGGAGGGGAGGACGGGGGGAGGAGGCGGGGAGAAGGGGGAGTGCAGGAGGAAAGGCCAGGAGGAGAGGAAGGCAGGAGAGGCCGGCGGCGAGGCGGGGACGAGAAGTGGGGGAGCAGAGCGAAGAGGAATCGAGCGAGGCTGAGCAGAGCAAGGGACGTAAAGGTGAGGTAGGGGCAGAGGTGAGCATCCAGCTGCGAATGTTCCCAGGCCCTCGACCTCCCGGGGATACAGTCAACCCGTATCAGAAGGATGCACGATAAGGATGCAGGGGCCTTGCAAGGCCATGTCGACACTTTGCGAGCGGGGCGCGGCCAACGAAAGCGGCCAAGGATGGACCGAGGAGGCAAGGATGCAAGAGTACCCGTGGGACGGCGGCCCATCCTTACTATGCGGGCTGACTGTACCCCCCCGCAGCGGGAAGGCCTCGCTGGGCGCGGTCGGAGGAGGCGGAGCGGGAATAATAAGAATACAATAATAATTATAATAATAAGAAGGAGGAGGAAGAGGAGAAGGAGGAGGAGGAGGAGGAGAAGGAGGAGGAGAAGGAGGAGGAGGCGGAGGAGGAGGCGGAGGAGGCGGAGGAGGCGGCGGAGGCGGAGGGGGAGGAGGAGGAGGAGGAGGAGGAGGAGGAGGAGGAGGAGGAGGAGGAGGAGGAGGAGGAGGAGATGGAGGAGGGGGAGGAGGAGGAGGAGTAGAAGGAGGAGAAGGAGGAGGAGGCGGAGGAGGAGGAGGAGGCGGCAGAGGAGGAGGAGGAGGAGGAGGAGGAGGAGGAGGGCGAACCGAACGGGCGGCAGCGCGCCCGAGCAGACTCCGAGGCCTCGCCGGCGGCGCCACGGCCCGGGGAGGGCCCCGGGCGAATTCGCGTGCCTCCCGCGGGGCGGCGCCCGGAGAGAGCGGAGCTCACGTGGGGAGCTCGGCGGGGTGTGCCCATGAGGGAGGGGCAGCGATAGGGGGGGCTGTATTACACCAATAGGGGGAGGAAGGAGGAGGACCCAGAGGAGGAGGAGGAGGAGAAGAGGACGAGGAGGAGGAGGAGGAGGAGGAAGAGGAGGAGGAGGAGGAGGAGGAGGATGGAGGAGGGCAAGAGGAATGAGGAGGAGGAGGAGGAGGAGGAGGAGGAGGAGGAGGAGGAGGAGGAGGAGTAGATGAGGGAAGAGGGAGGAGGGAGGAGGGAGGAGGAGCGGGAGGAGGAGGAGGAGGAGGACGAGGAGGAAGAGGAGGAGGAGGAAGAGGAGGAGGAGGAGGGGGGGATGCATCGACCTGCAACGGGCGGCACATCGTCGACAGATCGGCGATAGGCCCCCGCCAGTGAGTCCGCAGCTTCCTGGGCGGGTTGGGGCTCTCGGGCCCCTATCGGCGATCAGTGGGCGAGTAAGGATCGGTGCGCCCCCCCCTATGCTTAGGTCGGGCGTGTCCTCCTACAGGCGAACTCTGAACGACAAATAAAAAGTAGCCCAACAATAAGCAAAACTAGCCAATACTAGTCAACAAATCGTCCCCTGACTATTTTTTTACTATTTTTGAACATTCCCCCTGTAGGGGGACACGCCCGACTGAACCCTATGCCTATCCCCCCCTATCGTTGCCCCTGAGCTCAGACCGCTGCCTGTGCGGAGGCGCAGTCGATGTGCAGAGCGCCTGCCGAGAGCTCGGGCAAGAGTTATGTGATGGGCCTGCTCTCCACCACCACCACCACCACCACCAGAAGTTGGAGGGATGAAGCAGGTGGAGGACGAGTGGGAGGACGAAGAGGAACAGGAGGAGACCCCCTCTCCCTTCTATTTATGGTAGTGACGGTGGAAAATAAGCCCACCATTCTACCCATCGGTCGGAAGGACTAGGTATAGAAGCATGAAGCAGGAAGGCGTTGAAGATAGATTGGGTTTCCGCCCGCCCCCGAGAGAGAGAGAGAGAGAGAACGGAAAAGGCGAAGCCACTCGATCAGTGAAGTAGGAAGGCGCCTAAAGTAGATTCGAACCAGGGAATCCCAAAAAAATCCTACTTTCAACGACCGATGGGTAAACGTACGTGCACATATGTGTATATATGTATATACACAGATCAATGGGGGGCGCAGGCTGGTCATTTTATTGTCCATGGGTGCGTGGCAGAAGTGGTGTTCTTCTGACTGTTGCGTCGTCGAGCTCCCATCTGACGAAGAATGATAGCTGCTCCCCCCTCCGGTGCACCTTGTGTGATGGTTCACTTGGAAGTTCCCGTCACAGGGCCCGAACTGCGTTCTTTACAATACCTTACGCCTCAGAATGGGTTGCTGGCCACTTGACAAACACAGTAAAAGCTCCCGCCTGATACGACCTCAGGATTTATGTAAATCGGGTTCTCGCGCGGGATATCTTCAAAATTTATTCAGGAATCGCGGTCTCGGGTGGGAAGCCACCGATACTCAGGAATCAAGCTCTCGCTCTGGACTTCCTCAGGATGTATACGAAAATCGCGCTACCCCTCGAAACTTCATTGCGATTCATTCAGGACTGACGCTTCACTAACCCCGCCGCTCGACCCGGCCGTCTGGGCCCGCCCGCCCGACCTGCCCGTTAAGGTACCCCCGCCCGACCAGACTCGTCTGGATCTGCCGCTTGTTTCCTGCTCCGAACCCCGCTCCTGCTAATATCTCTCGTGCTCCGTCCTTCTCCCTCCCCCTTGTCCCCTCCCTCCTCCCTCTTCCCCCAGTTTAGGTGCTGCTCCAACTACATGTGGCAGGTAAGGAAGAGGGAGGGCATCGAGGGTTTCGGACACACATGTTGAATGACTCGCGAGCAGACAAGAGCGAACAATGTAAAACAAAATGTTGGTGCTTCTGTTGCGTTGTCATCGTCCTCGCCCGCGACCCACCTGCGACCGACCCGCGACCCACCCTGCGACCCACCCAGCGACAAAACCCGCGACCCACCCGCGACGCACCCCGCACACGTCCTCTCATTCTTACCCCCATTTGCGGGGTGCTACGTATCCAAAAAGTCTCGGGTTTTCGGACATCCTTCCACAGACAGACGCCGGGGATATAGACAAAAAACATGGCCGACTGTCGAAGCACATGTTTATTCCGTGTCCACTGCGTCTTCGGTATTCGGCAACTCTTTCCCCGAAATCCAAGATGCTGTGGTGGATATTGAAACACCATGGGGGAACCAACAAACACCGAGACTGCCACTCCCCATGGTGCGTTATGACCAAGGCGAGGCGCATCCAACGGTGGCGACGAGATCCTCCCAGGAGGCCCCCCAAAAAAGCAAAAACGAGGCAAGGGTGGCGGTACCCGTACTTCTTCCTCCTCTGGTCAAGCCTTGGCCGGCGAGGGAAGCGCTCGCGCACGCGCGAGGAGCATCAGACCGGGCGCGCGCAAGGACCGCCGCGCTACCGCATCAGCCCAGCCTCGGGTCGATGTGCATGGGCAGGCGCCTCTCCGCTCGTGCTCCGGCTCCGCGCCTGGGCTCGGCCACCCGAGCCGGCTCTCCCTGTGGGGGCCTCCCGCATGGGGTCCGAGAAGCTGGTGCTGGAGGATCCCGCCGCATCGGCGATGCATCGGTTCACGAAGTGAAAAGATATACCTACTCCCGGTCAGCCTTGATTTTTGGTTGATAAGAAGTTCCGTGGGCGTGCCCTGGGCGCCCCCCAGCGAAAAACGAAATAGTTTGGAACGTCGTCCGTCAGGTGTTGCGTAAGTTCCCGCGCTTAGAGAGTCGGGGGCAAGGGCGGAGGAGGATGGAGGAGGCGTGCCGCGAACAATGGTGTGAGAGGGAGAGGGGAGGAGAGGAAAATCATCATGTGACTCTCGGGCCAGGGGTCCACTTGGCACGCTTCAGGGCGATATGTTTTCCCCCCCGCGGCGGGCGTGGGCGAGGCATTGTTAGATCGCATGTTTGTTCGCGAGGCCGGCCTGGGAGGTCCGTTCTGAGGGGTTGGGCCGAGACCGTCGATGGGCTTCGATCGGCGGCGTCTAGTATCGGCCAGACCCCTGCCACGCCCGCCTGCTTGCGATTCGAAAGGTGTGAATCACTGTAGTTCGCCGTGGATGTTTCGCATGCTATGCAAATGCCAGACTTACTTATCATCCGCAGCCATTTCGTGCCAATTCATTTCAGGAGCGCCACGAAACGTGCATCATAATAGCGGCCCCCTGCAACCACACAACCACGAGCATGGTTTCCTCAGCGTCGAGCCCAGACGGGAAACAGAAGGCGGCTTCCGTCGACGTGAGCATCTGGCAGCGCAGCCCGCTCGACAAGGGTTCGGCGACTGCTCTGTGCCCGCTGGCCACGCGCGTGCCCCAGATCAAGCCCCACAAGAACATTGCGCAGCACAACGCGCGTGCAACCGCACGCGAGAGCATCGTCAAAACCATCGATTGGCTCCTCAAGCACCCGATGAAGGCGAACGACCTCTGGTGTAGCATCAGCAACGGCACCGTCGTCGACGACAGCCCTGCTCCAGCTCTCTCTCCCGCGGGGCCTGCCCTCGCTACCATCCCGACCACGTTCGGCAAGCTCAAACCAGAAGTCATCGCCAGCGTGTACGCGAGCTTGCAGGACGGGCCCAGCCGAGAGCTTCTCGACGCAATTCACAACAAGGACCCGCTGGCGCTGAAAGATGCCTTCCGTATGCACTTTCAAGTTGAGGATTCGGACAAAATCCCAGAAGACGTCCAAGGTGATCCTGAGAAATTTTTTCTCATGATGCATCGGCGGGGGGACGAGGTCGGCAACCGGTGGGTGCCATGGTTCGCCGACGCTGTGAGTGAAGACGGGGATGTTGATTGGTCGGAGGTCCCTCTGTTCACGTTCACTTACAAGGGCGGCGTCCTCGAGAAAGCGACCCATTTGAACGGGGATACTGGGACGCCGCCGAAGGAGACCACCATCCCCGCTGATTGGGGCGTCTTGGATTCGAACTCTGACGATCAGGCGCGCTTCGATATTAGCGGCAGCCCCCTCTTCGTGAAGACATTTTTTGCAAACAGCCAAGGCCCCAACAAGTTTCGATTGGATCGCGCAGGCGTGCACATGCGCAATCTCGGGACGGCAGCCGCCAAGGTCGTAGAGGACAAGCGTGGCCAGGCGAAGGCGATTGCTGATGCCATGGCGCCCGTCGATTTGAGCACTCGCGCCGATCGCCTCCGGAAGGAATCCCTCCAGGCGGCGCGCGAGGCGAGGCAGTCAGGGGGCGGTCCATCCAAGAGGCCTCGCATTCTTAAGCCAGGTAGTATGCTTGAGATCAAGAGTGGCACGGACATCTAGCAGGCACTCGGGGCGCAGATCTGTATATTTCGGGAGGGGCTCCCATAGGTAGCAATATCCTTCGTAGCACTGGTTTCGAATAGTGCTTGTCCGCTCGCCGCTTCGGCGCGCATGCAAATTTCAACAATCGAAGGTGTCAGGGGCGTCCTACCTTGCGGGGCTGGGATTTCTTCCCGATCTTTGGGGAAGATCTAGGGTAAGCATTCGGTCATTGACAGGGGCAGCAACTGTAAACCATCACCTCCTCCGCATCATCTTCATCACCTCATCCATCCGTCGACTCACGCTTCTCCCGTCGAGCTGGGCGCATCCAGTGCTGTTACTTGGTTGGGCCTCGGGGGGCGGTGGCATGTCACGTGGCAGATTTCCTACTATCTAATGGCCTTCGGCCAAATCCGCCACCGTGCCTGGGTAATGGGGCAGAGGCCTCATGAATGTTGGTTGTGAGCGCGTGTTTGGCCTCTCGGGGGCCTCTTGGGAGCAGTTTTGGGGCCTCTTGGGGGCTGTTTGGGGGCTCTTGGGGCCTGCTCGGCGCCTCTTCGAAGCCTCTTGGCGCCTCTTGGGGGCCTCTTGGGGTGGTCTGGGAGCCTCGTGAGGGCGTCTGGTAGCCGAGGGCTCGAATTTTCGCGCTCGGGGGCCACGATCCTCGTGAGGGGTGTCGAAAATAGCCCTCCCAAAGTTACGCGGGAAGCGCTGCCGGAGCCCAGGGGCATGGCGGCAAGCCCAAGAAGATTTGAGAATTTGGGCTCTGGCCCCCTTTAATGATTCCTCGGGGCTGAGGACTGAGGCTCAGGGGACGAGGAAAGGACCTGAGGACACGCCCACTCCGTGCCGAAGGGCACGGTGGCGGATGTTTAGGGCCACGTCGCGCAAGCTGGCCGATCGAAGCTTGCCGCGCGCGGAGTTCACATACAGGCCTCGTCCCATGTTGAATTGATGTCCATTCATATCGTTACATTTGCCCCAACTTTCGCTCCGTTGACTTTTCCGTTCTTTCTCCGATCCCGGGGCTATTGTTCGTTTTCGGCGTCACGATCTTGTAATTTTTTGCGCTTGGCACTTTCGCACGCCCCCCCTTTGCGACAGCAGACTGAACGGCCATTGCGACCGCCAGCGCGCGCAAGCATGAGTAGGACAGTTGGGGCCGCCAATGCCAGGACTCACGTGGGACCAGTGGCTCGTAAGGCTCATGGAACCCAGAAGGCTATCGCGGTGCGCGGTGCACGTTGGGTTCGTAACGCTTGCGGGGCCCGCGGTGCTCGAGTGGCACACCTCGCATATGATTAGCGGGGCACGTACGGCACCCCAGTTCCGTAGGGCTTCGAAGATTTGAGTACCCCGTGTGGTTACTGTTGTTATTGAGGCTCGCATGGGGAAGGAAGATCGTAGGCCGCGTAGGCCCCAGGAGGCTTCCCAGCGCGTTCCGGCGAAGCCTTTCCGGAACGCGCTGGTGCCGTTACGGCGGTCGATATCTGAGCGTATCTTCCATGGGCAGGGGCGCTTCGTGGCCACTTGCACTGCTGTTGCACGCGGCGTCGTCCTCCCAAAACCTATGAATGGCAGGGGGGCGGCAAGGATTTGTGTTTCTGGGCCCGCTGGGTTCGATCGCTTCCTACGTAGGATAAGGCTCATAGGGCTCATAGGGCTCATGGGGCTCATGGGGCTCATAGGGCTAATGGGACTCATACGGCTCATAGGGCTCATGGGGCTCATAGGGTTCGTAGGGGCTCGATGGGCTCATAGGGCTCATTTGGGCTCCTCGGGCTGATAGGGATCATGTGGCTCATCGGGTTGTAGGGCATAGGCAACTCACAACCAATCAGCGGCACATATTATCCCACTTCGTGGGATTAATCGTTTGGCGCCGCGGCTGGCGCAGATCAAACGGACAATGCGGGGACAGACCAGATTGAACCCGAACCGAAACATAATGCAACCCCGAACATGGCAACGATGGGTCCCCAGATTTTGGGGACCCATCGGCCCCCAGCGAACGCGTTGGGGGTCAGCGTTGGCGGTTGCCCTGGCGGCGTTGGGGGTCACCGCTAGGGGTCGCCGTTGGCCGATGCCCAGACGGTGCTTGCCATGCAGCGGTGGCTCGTGACGGTGACCCCCAACGCCGTTCAGTCTATCCGCACATCATTTCTGAATATGAAAAACGGCCCCTGCGGCCCAGCAGACAATCGTAGATTGTGCCCGAAAACAGCGGCGTTTTGTAGCAGCACTTCGCGCGGCTTATCGGAACTCCGTGGCCAGTTTGTTTCGAACCTCTGCTTCGGCCGAGGGTCCAGTTGCACGTTTCGCCGCTTGTCTATTGAACGCGAGCGCCAGGATTTAGATTTCAGTCTTCTCCCATGGCCGACGCTTCCCCTGGGGTTGCACTTCTCTTGCGTCTTCTCGAGAAGAAGCCAGAGCACGTCTGGCAGCTCCAGGATCGAGTCGCCCAGGGCCAGAACGTCGTATTGAGCTCTATGGAGATCCCCGTGGACGCCATCAGGGAGGCAATCCAGCGGTGGGAGGAGACGATTGGGGGCCATCTCGCAGCTCCGGCCCCTGGTCCACTCGAAGGCTGCCCTCTCTTGCCGCCTCCCATGGTGCCTCCTGAGATTGCCGCTGTTGGTGGTGCGCCAGCCGCGGAAGGTCCTGTCGATGCCCCGGGTGCCCCAGTTCCACAGGCGGCTCCTGATGCTGAGCTGCCAGTGCCCGCGGCCGCAGTCGGCATTGCAGCGCAGGGCGCCGAGGGCGATGCCCTGGCGGACGACGCTGCTGTTGCCTTGCCAGACGATGACATCATGGCCGTCGAGCCTGAGAGCGTGGACTCGCCCAACGATTTCACGCGGATCCAGTACGACGGGGACCTCCTGACGGTGTATTACGACCATTTTGACCGCCGCTGGAAGGTCATCTATGACGTCACTGGGGAGCGCCATGTGCTGCCAGCGACGCTTGGCGAATGGATCTTGGATGCGGACACCGACGCTGGCGAGGCCTACGTTGTCGAAGTGGTGGAGCGGGAGGGCGTGCCGACGCAGATCGATTTGGATGACGTGCTGCGCATGGTCCCTTACCAACGAGAGAGTGACAAGGATGTGATGTTCCATGACTCCGTCGAAAACGACACGTTTTCAGCTCCTGAGGCGAAGCGGCTCCACCAGAACGTCGCTCTCAGCATCAAGGACGAAGTGAGCCAAGCGAAGAGCAAGGTCAGCATCTTCATCTTCGACCTCCCCCGTAATGGTTGTCATGTTTATTTCGACGTCCACGGCGTCTTCGAGGCCATGGATGTGCACCATTTTACGCAACAGTATGGGACGTACATATGCAACCAGTGGAAGCGGTGGCACACAGCGGCTTCGAAACTCGGCGTGCATGGCGTCCTCAGCTCGGCGCCGTACCAGAACAGCCCGCACTTTGAGGAGGGGCCGAATGCCTCGCGGCCGCTTTCGGAAAAGACGTTCTCGACGTGCGCGTTGATCTACATGCTGGGCAGATGGAGCAGTGACAAACAGCGCAATGGCAGGTTCGTGGGCCAGGGGGCTGCAGACAAGGCCGTCTCTTTCCTGGGGCGCATGCTCAAAGGCCTGTTCGCCAGCCGCGACAGTGGCATCACCATGTCTGTCTATTTGGATGGTGACTTTCAGCGGCGTCCGAATGGATCTATGTTTTTTGGCAAAACCTTGTGCGTGCTGCCTGTGTCCACGGTGGGCCGCGTGGACTTTTCCAACCTCAATGACCTTTCCCGCGCTGGCTCGGAACGGGCCGCTGCTCTTTGGAATCTGCTCGCTCAGAGGTTCGACATTCAGGACGTCATGCTCGTCGATTTCGTCGCGTGGGTGGCCAGCCTGCCTCCCCAACCGTGCCATGCCAAGTTTCAGCTGCAGGTCTTCTGCTGCCTCGGCTCCCTCATCGACCAGATCATCTGCGACCTCTGGGACGAGCAGGGGACCAACCCGATGTTCGAAATCGAGGCGTTCCAGGGCTGCAAGAAGCGCCTCCTGCAGGAAAACGCCATGTACATCGCTCGGTCTCGTTCCGTGGCCTCGGCGGACGGCTGCAAGTTCCTTTCGTCCACGTTCGACTCGTCAAATGTCCGGGGATCTACTGTCATGAATGGAGCGTACGTTCTCCCTGACAACCGTGCGTGGTGGGGTTGCCCTCAGGACGCGGGGACCTCAGTGCGACGCCGTCGTCCGTCGGGGGGGGGGCCACAGAAATTTCGCTCTGTCGTCGTTGCCTGTCGCCTTGGCCCCTTGCAGTATCTGTTCTCCGAGACATCCTGAAAAAAGATCCGGCATCGCCGGTCTCCTCTTGGCTTTTTTGGGAGCATTTCGGGATCGTGGGTCCTGGGATTTTTTTCTGTCGGCGCGAGTGGCCCCCCTCGTCAACCGCGTTCCGGAAGGGCTCTTCCGGAACGCGCCCCGGAAGGAAATTCGAAGAGCCCTTTTTGGGGTTTTTGGTTATGTTTTTCGACCATTTTTGCGTCGCAGACGCGTGGCCCCCAGGAGACCGCGGCCTTCGTCGGGCAGGCGACCGAAGCCCACGCTCGGGGCGACAGCGAGCTGGAGGCTGCTCTGGCTGACATGCGGGATCGGCATCAGAACCTTCTGAAACGCAAGGCGAATGACGGCAGGAAGCTCATCTGGCGGCCCAAGAAGAAACATCGGAAGGCCTCGGCGAATCTAGGCTGCGAGGTTGACAACCAGATGTCCCTGTTCCTGCCTAAAGGCATCTTTGCCTTCAGGGTCCCATTCGAAGAGGCGGAGCGTCTTCCTGCGATTGAGTGGCCTCGGTGGAGCGTATGCCCTGACCAGGGCCCCACGTGCGTGACTGCGGTGTCCCACTGGCAGAGGAAGCTGAACGTCAACGTCGACGTGACGTGGGACATGTGCCACCGCTGGCACAACGACATCATGGGCGGCCTCAAGGCGAGCGGACTCGGAAACCATCTCACGCTCGCACTGCTGCGGGTCAACATTCCGAGCTCCCCCTGGCACCAGGACGAGCGCCTCAACCAGAACAGGGACGCGTTCGATGAGCTCATGAAGTTTGAGGCGCCAGAGACTTGCGTACTATTCAAGGCCATGGCCGTCGACATGCTGAAAGAGGAGGCGGGTCGGTCTTTCGCGGCCGAGGAGCACCCGGAGCAGGCTTTATGGAACAGCTTCAAGGAGGATAACCCCCTGACCCTCAAGGACACCGTGGTCGTGAACTCACGCTGGGTGAAGCTCATCCGCAAGCTTCGCGACGACATCAGGAACTACCATCAAAGGGCGTTCATTTACCTCCACACGTGCGTCGAGATGGATTTGCTTGTGACAGATCAAATGAGCAGGATTGTCGCCCACAGCATGGCGATCCCCACTGTCACGTCGGCCAGGCGCCTCACACCAGAGGAACTCGCAGTCCGTAAGAACAATTGCAACCAGCTTGTGATGGGCTTGATGGACATGTTGAACCCAGACACGTTGAGGAAGGACGAGGTTTGCGTTTGTGCCGCGGAGCCTTGGGAGCAAGCGTTCGGCGAGATGAATGCTACGCTGCGGAATTGCCATGATGGGATGAAATGGATGCTCGAACACTTGGATGGTCACTTCGTGTCGGTGTGCATGGCGACCTTCAAGCAATTGAGCTCAGTCGCTGCGCTCCGCTACTGTCAGTTCATTCTGCCGCAGCCAGGGGCGATGGCTCCACAGGATTGGGACCGCACCAAGTTCGATGAAGATCAGGTTGCCGAATGTTTCGCCCACGCCGTGATGTGTATCAACGCAAAGCGGATCAGCAGCAGTGCACCGCTATTGCTTGGCTGGTCTTCCCGTTCGATATATTTCACCAGGGACGACGACAAAGCAAAGAACGAGATCGCGAAGCTGAGAGCTGATGCGGACACCTTTGAACACTTCCAGGGCAAAGGTGGCGACATCGAGGAGGGCATCGACTTCGTGATGCGCAGCCCGTTCCAGACGATGGCCGTGCAGCAGGTGTACCAAGTAGTTCGCGACAAGGGGTTCGCCCTTGATCCTGAGGCCACTCGCTTCTTCCAGAAGGCGCACAGCCGCTTGCTCATCAGCCAGTGCGTGGAGGACGGTTTCAACGAGCAGAAGAACGCGACGCTGCCGTACGCCAACCGCCGGGCCAGCATGGAGACCAATCTGACTGTGATCAGGGAGCGGCGCGCATTATCTACTAAGCACGACTTCAAGGAGCTCGAGGAAAGCGTGGCTTCGAGGGGCGCGGGCGCGCCGCATCTCAATTCAGCTTCTTACCAACGCCCCTGGATGCAGAACCCGGAGGAGCTTCGCAGCCTATCGGGTTACAACAAGCAGGCTGATTTTTATTCACCTCGAGCCGACCACTGGGGCGCCCAGTTCGCTGACCAGGTCTTGGCGCAGCAGGTCAGGTGCAGCGGTTCTGAGGGCAAGATCCACCAGGCGTGGCTGGGCTCCATGTTTGATTGTCGGCACAACATTGTCGTGCGGCGCGTGCGGGATGGGGCCCCAGTCGGACCTCTACTTCTTCCACTTGGACACATGTATCAGAGCGCTGCTATCGCCTGGCCGGTCGAGAAGCAGACGATCACGGTAGGAGAGAGCACCTACGAGTATTTTGTCTTCCAGCGGCCAGCAGACGAGCGTGCCATATTTCATGCCGTGGTTGACCACGCAGAGTGGGAAGCAGTACGAGTCGAGTGGAAGTCCCCGTTTTCACAGTGCCTCGAATGGGGCGTGCATGGGAAATCTCATGGAGTATTTCCGTTTGCCCGGGGTGAGTTCCGTCCCATTTTGAAGGTACTTGCTGAGTCGTGCTTCGGAGTTCTCAAAAAAGACTTCCTAACGAAACTGGCCCAGATTCTGGGGGTGGGCGATGCGACGTCCAACGGCCTCTACCACATTCTGGAGGCCCTCGTCCGCCACGAACTGAAGCCCATCAGCGAGTCGGACCTCAGCGCTATTATGAGCAAGCGTCTAGCTTCATTTGCCACCGAACAGGATACCATCATTTCTGTCTTCATGGACGTGGACGGCGCCCACGAATACCTCACGAAAGATGACCACGAGAACCTCGTGCAGAGCGGGAAGAAAGTGAAAATAGCAATTGCAGAGCTGAGCGACTACTCGACGGAGTACAAAAAGCGGCGTGCAGAGATCAGGGATGCCTTGATGGCCGCGGAGGCGCTCGTGCCTGCGAAGGGAAGGGGCCGTGGAAGGGGGAAGGGCCGCGGCAAGGGCGGAGGGGGCGACGACCCTCCCCAGCGCCTCCCTGATGGAGAGCTCCAGCAGCCCGTTCTGAAGCGGCTGATCCCACCCGGATCCTTCATCTGGAAGGGATGGACCACGCACACGTGGCATGGCCATCTCCCTCCATACAAGAGGGTGGCGTGCAGTTGGCGCGTGTATGGTGAGCGCGGCGCGGCAGTCCTTGTAGTGAGGTCTCTGTGGAGGTCGCACCTCCTTCAGGAGGGCCTCAAAGAGCAGGATTGCCCCATCGCGGGCCTCTTTGACGCTGGTGCCGAGGATCTTCTGTGAACCGTCACGGCGATCTGCCCCCTCGGTGGCGCGGCAGTCGCATGCAGCGCTGTATACGTGCCGCGCTGTTCGAGAGTTCCCAGCTGGCATGGCCGCCGCGCCAGCGCGTTGACAGGGACCGAACCGAATAAAAGACCCACAGAGCAAAACTGTTAGCTCCGACCGTGTCCAAAGCGGGGGCCTTCGCCCTCTCCTCTCCGAATTTTCGATTAACCTCCTCCTCCATCCCCCCCCCGTTGGCTTGCCAGCGATGGCTCGCGACGGTGACCACCAACGAGCATACAGCAGTTCGCACAACATCAAAATCCGACAGCCGCATCGCATGTTCATATCCTCCTTCCCTCCCTCCCTCAGGCGGAGACGGCCCAAGTGGCCAGCGTCGCATCCCAAACGCTGCCGCTCATGGGGCTGGTAGATTTCCTCGGCCTCGCAGGGCCCACAGGGCCCGTTGGCGCCATAGGGCCCGTGCGGCCCAAAGTGCTCGTAGGGTTTCTAGGGCGCATGTGGTTCCGGGGGTCGCATGGCCAGTAGGGCTCTGTGGACTCGTGCGATTCGCACGGATCGTAGGGCTCGCAGGGGCCATAGTGCCCAAATATTCTCGGGGCATCGTTGGCCTTGTGGTGTTCACAAGATTTGCAGGGCTCTGATTACTCGTACGGCTTGAAGGGGGTTGCTGGGTCACAAGGCTTACAGAGCCGGCGGGGTTCATAGGGCTTGCATTGCCCGTGGTGCTTGAAAGGATCAGGGCTCGCATGGGCAATAAGGCCCATAGAACTCATAGGCTCGCGGGGCTCGCAATGCCTGTAAAGCGTGTGGGGGTCATAGGGCTCAGAATGCTCGTAGGGATCGTAGGTCCCGTATTTTGGCTCCAGGAGCCCGTGGAGGCCGTAGGATGAGTAGGACGCATGGGCCTCATCAGGTTCACAAGGTCTGCTGTCCTCATAAACAACGCGGTGTAGGCAGTGATTACCGTAGGTACACGTGTTGTGTCGTAGGAGACTGGTCGCGTGACTCTTTGGGTGAGTTGTGTCTGGTTGCTGAAACGAGGCACGCGCCTGTGCCCAGTCGCTGGTGGGTTACCGCCCAGTGATTTATCCGCTCGTATGGTTCTGCAGGCGGAGACGTCCAGGCGGTCATGGGAGGGGCCTTTGTCCTGCGAGCGTGGCCGAAATTCTGGGCCCCAGCTCCGTCGACAAATATTGCCACGCAGTCGGAGGCAGCGCGGCACGAGCGACGCGCCGACGACACAATGACACATGGCACACCCAACGCGCACACTCGAGCGCAGCATTTGCGCACGTAGCACTTGCCAGGCCCGCAGATGAACGCATGTGACACTATGGCCAGACATCGCGCACTCCACACAATTACCTTTCGAGCGAATGCCTGGCGATCCATCGCGCGTAGGTCGGATTCTTGCGGCTCTTTGGGTTTAGTCTTTTGCCACTCGCGATGGCGACGAGGGTGTCGAGCGCCGGAATTGTCCTGCGGGGAGGGCGGGATCGAAACATTTCCGAGGAGTGTCGGATGAGGGGCTTGGGGGACGTGAGAATGGGAAGTGCTAGTGTCCAGGGAGGTCAGGGGGGGAGAGAGGATCGGGCGGACAAGGCGGGAGGAAGAGTTTGGCGAGGGGGAGGAGGAGGAGCAATCGACTTGAGGCATGGGTGGGGTGGAGTGGCATGCAGAATGAAACCGTGTGCAGGGACGCAAGGTAAGGTAGCTGCCACGGCAGGTCATTACACTAATGGCCTTCGGCCAAGTCCGCCACCGTGCCTGGGTAATGGGTCAGAAGCGTCATGAATGTTGGTTGTGAGCTCGCGTTTGGCCTCTCGGGGGCCTCTTGGATGCAGCTTTGGGCCCTCTTGGGGGCTGTTTGGAGGGCTCTTGGGGCCTGCTTGGCGCCTCTTCGGGCCTCTTGGCGCCTCCGGGGGGCCTCTTGGGGGGGTCTTTGGGCCTCGTGTGGGCGTCTAGTAGCCGACGGCTCGAATTTTCGCGCTCGGGGACCACGATCCTTGTAAGGGGTGTCAAAAAATGGCCCTCCAAAAGTCACACGACAAGACGCGAGACCTCCCCAGGGTTACGCGGGAAGCCCAAGGAGATTTGGGAATTTGGTCTCTGGTCCCCTTAATTGATTCCTCAGGACTGAGGCTCAGGGGCTGAGGGAAGGACCTGAGGACACGCCCACTCCGTGCCGAAGGGCACGGTGGCGGATCATACACGTTTCCGCATCGGCGCGGTTGAGCGCGCGTCAGCGATCGCGCCATGCGTCGACAAGGCCAGTGGATGTCTCTAGATCTATTGGAGCCGACTCGAAGCGGCTATTCGGCGGGTCCTCCATCCTCCCCGCCCTTCTCTCCAGGTCATCGTCCCTCCTCGCCGCCGTCGCCCGTCCTTCCAGGCAGCGTCGAATGCTCGCTTGGGACGCGTCGGCATCCAGACGACGCAAGTCAGCGTCCAGCCGTGAAGAGATGTTGCGATGAGC